GGATCATATTGTAGAAATTTGCGGAATGATATTTTTATTGATAACCAAAATAACATATAAATAGATGAGAGTCTTACATTGAATAAGTAAAGTATGCATAATAATAAATATTTCTAAATATATATTTTCCGGATTTGATAAGAACTCCAATATACGATATAACTCGTAATATTCTTCAAGATCCGGTATATCTCAACACATATAATCGTTATCGATCAGTTTTCTTATCATATGTTTATTGTTTTAATAGTTATGATTTTCAACCAATTTTTTTTTAATGTTATAAAAACATAAAAAAAAATAGAATTGAACCGTTGAAGATGTTTATAGATAATAAGATAGAGTTTTCTATATAGTTTAAACAAGTTTCAAACTAAGCTTAGTTATTCCACTTATACTTATAGGCTTGCAAAATCGTAAAATATAATAAAGGAAAAAAAATAAGACAATCATTGTATCCAAAAAGACTAATTTCAACCGCAAGCAAAAAATAATAATAATCAATTTAATCATTCCCGATTAATATATTTTTACAGTTATTTTGTCGCTTGTGAAACAATCTAACACATGGCGTTGTACATATATATATATATAATATAGTACTTTATCGATGGCAAAGTATCATCATCATCATCATCATCATCATTAGTATACTAAAATTTGAATTTTGTGAGTAGTCATCAAGAAATTATAATGGACTGAAAATGCAAATATATGCCAAAACAAATTACAGGATATATTTTTATTATGCTTTCCATTCTTTCTTACGATATCTACCATTTTGTCATTAAATAATCGATTTTGAGGTTATTTAAAAACAAAAATATTTAATTTTAGAATATGCATATATATATATATATAAGAAGATATGTTTTTTTAATATCTTTAAACAGCCAATGTTATAATTTTTTTATTGTCTCGAATTATAAATTGAATAATAAAGCTATCTCTGAATCTCTGGTCAAAATTTAATAATTTTTAAATTTACCCATTAATATAAGATCGGAGACATATATATAACCAAAATTATACCGCATTATTCTAATTAAAAATCTCATTAAAACATGACTAATTGTACCGAAATAATACTGAAATTTTAAACTTAATATAATAATTTACTATTAGTCTTAAATGTTCAAATATAAACGAAATCATAATTATAATTACAATAAGTTGATACATGTATTATTAGCATAATAATACACATCCGAATTCTTTTGTCCAATCGTCAAGTATTAATATAGAAATAAAAAACAATCACTAATTATCACTACAATAATTAATATGATCAAAAGTAAATGATGTAATCGTCTCTTAATTTAATTATCCATATCCAATAATATTGGAGAGGGCTTATTTTGTTGCGGATGGTTAGTAATATGGGAATTTTGAAGATAAAACTTTATATTATAATTCAAATATTTACAATTATATTTGAAAAATTCATATAATTGATCTATTTTTATGTTCAAATTAACATTTACATATTAATTAGTTAATTGTTTTTATGTTATTTTTTATATTCGAATACACAATAAAACAAAAAATAAGATTAATAAAAGATGGGAAAATGGGGTGTAAATGTGTGGTCAGCACGTGAGTACTTTCCCCGCATGCGAAAAGCTGATGGAAATGCCACGTCATCACCAATTTCCGTTTTTATTGAAAAATAATATCTTTTTTTTTGCCGGCTCTTCAAGTACAGAAAAATTAAATAAGACGAATGAATATAGAAAATTAGTTAATAAAATATAAATCTCCCAAAAATATAGTGAATATTTATAAATTACATTCATGATAAAACAAAGTCCATTTACTCCATTTTAGAAGACAATTAATAGTAAAAGTTGAAAGTAAAAAAGGTCGATGCGACGATAAAAGTGTCGCTTATGCATTAATACGAATTCAAAATTAACTAATTACATTACATAAACGAAAATGTGAATTATTTTTTTACAGTGTCATGACTTTTATTAATTTAAGATTCGTTCTTATTTTAAGTTTATATAAAAATATTCTTATAAAAATCATGAATTGTTTTCTTCATAGAATATATAATTTTTTAATTTTAGCAAGAATTTATGAGGTCAGTTTCCAATAAATTTGTATACCTAATGACCGATCTACATATCATCATAAAATCAAAATCCACTTTTCATTCCTTACTTACAGTATTAAAACTTTTCAATAAATTACATATGATAAAATTATTGTCAAATAAACTAAAATAGACGAAGATTTAAATCAAATACTGATTTATAACCATGCCAAATAATCAAAATATAGCGATGTTTGTGATCCAATAATAGTCACCATTGCCTCAAATTCATAAAAAAAAAAACAGGAAAACGATTTTAGCAAAGCTACAAATATATTTGATTTAAGAAAATTAAAACTCAAGTTTGTCTAGAATTTAAATCCAATACTCAGTTGTTTTCTATAAATAATACTTCTTTTTGATAAAAACATTTTAAAAAACTTTAATAATTAAGAAATAGGAAATAAATAAATTAAAAAAAATAAGGGAGGCGGTGGTGGGCCCCACCGGCCGCGCCATAAAAGAGATGCAGATCAAAAAATAATTATATTTTTTACATTTAAATTTTTAATAGACATTGAAGTCTCATTTTTTTTTAATGTATTTTGGAGCTCTTATTTTTGTTGTCATTAATTTCAATTTGGATACGTACTAAGAAAGTACATCAAAATATAATTACATGTACTAAATCACACTAATTTTCTTTAAAATATTTAGTATTTACCATTAACTATTTCGTTACAGTTTATATTCATTCAACTCGATCCATTGGAAAACAAAATTACGCATATATATATATATATATAATGACAGAAAATTTCTCAATCAATGTTTCCTATATCAAAAAAGGTTACAATGGTCAAAGAATAATCTCGAGACTGCCACTGTATGGTGACAAAATATTAAATGACATGCGTTTTATTATATCTAAATTTATTTTAAATCAAACTGTGATATCTTTTATGTAGTTGCTTTTAATATAGAATATTCACATCTTTATTATTCAGTATTTGTTTTTTATTATCATCAGTTATATTAATTCGGACGAACATCGTTTGACTGCATGTCTCACTTGTTCTCATTTGACTATACACTTATTGTTCTATATATACTTTACCATTATTAAATACACCAAATTTACCATATACTTAATTTTCTAAATGCAATTCATAGTATTAGAATTATCTAAAATAAATTAAAATTAGTACTAATTAGATATACCTTCCACGAAATCACATTTATATTTTATATTTTTATTATTATTATAATGATTCTGATAATAAATTTAGATCGCAAAGGGAAAATAAATCAATGATGTGTATGTAGCAGATCAAGAGGTTAAGTCATTTCACTGTGTTTGACTGATCAAGAGAGGTTTAATTTTCTTTTTTTTTAAATATGTCTTTTTAATTTTTTTTACTTTAACAAAAATATTATTCACTTAATGCTATAATCTGTCGTGTAAAATCGTCAATAACCGACCTACTTATGCTAAAAGGATCAATCTTTTTTTAGGCTATAAGATCTTCATAGATTTGACAATTCCTCTTTGGGAGAGTTAAAAGCCTGGTTTTTTACTATGGTAATAATTATCATAATATAAATAGGGGCGAATATTTTCAATAGTGCATGTTCTGGTAGTTTTATTAAAATACTTTTATTTGATTTTTCTATGGATTTTCTATTATTTTATTTTATTTTATTCAATTTACTTATTTTAATTTTTAAAATGATAAGAAATATATTTTTAGATAAAATAGATTACAACTTTTTTTTTTTACTTTTTTTATTGTTATTTTTCCGGACATTAATTCATTTTCTACACACTGCATACATATTTTTATTGATGGCGATAGTGTGTGTGTATATATATATATATATCATGTGACGGGTAAAACTCACATTGATATTTTACTTACAAAAAAAATCTAATATATGTTTTATATAGTAATACACGAAGAGCGATATTGATTGGCTGTTGTTTTTTGAAAATTTGACAATGTTCTTATATCCATTCACATGTTTATGATGTGAATATACGCATTATACTTATATATATACATAAATATGTGTGTATATTACTACAGACAATGAAATGACCAATTAAAATTTATTCCTTGAAAATAAAAAGAAAGATATGACATGCTAACAAATCAAACGCTATCACTGTGTGGTGAGAGAGAGAAAGAGAGGTTTTGGTTACAAAAGACACATTTTGATTGCTTGATGTGTTAGAATGATTATGTCAGATACAGAATATTAATATATATATATATATATATATATATCAATATTCCAAATTGGCGGGGTGTTAATAATACAAAAAATATAACCACAAAAAAACCATATAATATAATTTAAAAAGAGAGTTGTTCTCTTCTCTATGGAAAGACTTTACACGCTTATCAGATATGTAATAAATATATCATTTAATGCCTCAAATTTATGACCATTTTTTTTTAAATGTAACAAATCTAAAAAATATTAAAAATTTGTATCTAATTTGAATTTGATTTTTATTTTAAAAAATTATTATCATTTGTATACTATTATTTGTAGTATTTCTTATAGTATAGTTAAGATAATGAGAACGTTGAAAATTGTAGATAGTAAAAACAGTTACAAATCATATTATTTAATATTGGTCTCAAAAGATTTTGTAAATAATGAGAACGTATTTATTTTGCTGAATTAAAAAAAAAAAAATAGAGAGGGAAAACAGAATATGAAAGACGACAATATTTACCAAATGAATAATAAATAATGGTTTGCTTTTGAGTCAAATCTGGGGACGCCATATTAAATGTGCAGTGGATCCCTATATTGTCATTTCGAAACAACAGTAGGGACAACTTCGTAAATGCAGTCCGTATTCAATATTTAATATTTTTAAATAAAAACCCTCAACTTTTTCTTTCCTTATTGCACAGCTTGTCGGGTTGCGTGCAAATTCTCTCTCCCTCTCTGTCTCTTTTATTCCCACTGTTCGATGTTCAGACCGGACACAGATCAGTCACTTCTCTCTCTCCTTTCTTGTATAATTATATTTTTTCCCAGAGATGAAAAATTGGGATTAAATTTCGTATATTTTGGTACTGGTTCTGCCTTTTTTGTTTGTGTTGTGCTGAGTGATGCTCTGGGTTTCTTCTTCCTGTTCTTCGTCATCCATTGTCGCCTCTCTCGTTCCAAAGGTCTCCGTGTTTTTCTGAGAAATGCTTCGACCTCTTGGCTCTCTTCTTTGAGAGAGCCCGTCACTTTCTCGGGAAAGTTTGGGGTTTTCCCTTCTTTCTTCTTTTTCCCGGAAAATCTTGACTCTTGAGGGGGGACAGGGACGAAGTTTTCTCTCCTCCTCCTTGATTTCTCGGGCTGGGTTTCTGTTTTCCCTTCTCTTTCTTGTTGAATCTTTGAAATCCATAGATCTTCTTAATCTCTTTCTCTGTTTTGAAATCCGTTTTTTTTCCGCTGTTCTTTTCTTTTTTCTCTCTCCCGGATTTTCGTTCCACTTGTCGTCGGTCTTTGGCTATAAGCCGCGACCATAGAATCTCCTTTGTCCGAAAACAAGAAAAAGAACACTCATTTACACTTACGTTTCTCTTAAGGAACGACGGACTTTCCGAAGGGGCTGAATACAGAAAAGCGCTAGAAAAAAAAAAGAAAAGCAAGAAATAAGAAAAGAAAAAAAGAAGCTCGAGACCCAGTGAGAAACCGTCGGAAAGTTCGAGACTTTGTTCCGAGGTGAGAGAAAATGGCGATGGCGGTGGCGAATCACAGAGAGAGAAGCAGCGACAGCATGAACAAGCATTTGGACAGCTCCGGCAAGTACGTCAGATACACGGCGGAGCAAGTGGAGGCTCTCGAGCGTGTCTACGCCGAGTGTCCGAAACCGAGCTCCCTCCGGCGACAGCAGCTGATCCGAGAATGTCCCATTCTGTCCAACATCGAGCCTAAGCAGATCAAAGTCTGGTTTCAGAACCGGAGGTATTGCAAAAATCTCGGCACTTTCTGGCGGAAAATTCTGAGATTTCCGTTGGGTTTTGAGGAACGGATTCTGGGTATCTCGTGGTTTTTCTGAATTCGCCTGAATCTGGGTTCTACTCGAACGTAATGAAGGGCCACTTGGTCCGTCGTTGTTTTCTTTTTAATTCTTAGTTGTGTTGCTTTCAGACACTGAAGATTTGCGGCTTTTTTGTGTAGTGAGCGATTCTATTATTGGACACAGTTTTCTGTTTTTGTAAGGATTCTGCGAATCTGTCTGGTAGTTTTGATATGGGTGGTTGGCTCTGGGATCATAGGATACGATACTATGATTAGGATCGTGTCTGGTCTAATCTGGGTGGTTTTTGTTTATCGAATCGAATGTTGTTAATTTTTTTTTTGATTTTAGGTGTCGGGATAAGCAGAGAAAAGAGTCTTCAAGGCTGCAGAGCGTGAACCGGAAGCTCTCCGCCATGAACAAGCTCTTGATGGAAGAGAACGATAGGTTGCAGAAGCAGGTTTCTCAGCTCGTCTGCGAAAACGGATACATGAAGCAACAGCTTCATACCGTTCAAGTAATTTCCTTGCAAGAATCTTCACGATAGATGATCAAGATTTGCAGGTTCAGATTTGTTGAATATTTTTCTCTGTTTCTGTGAATTTCAGGTGACAGACGCAAGCTGCGACTCCGTGGTTACAACTCCTCAGCATTCGATCCGAGATCCGAACAGTCCCGCTGGGTAAAAAGTGTTTTTGTTTCATCTTCTTAGTGTAATAACTGATAACTTGTGTAGTGTTTTAATGGCGTGTGTGTATGCAATGGTTTCAGATTGCTCTCCATTGCTGAGGAGACCTTAGCAGAGTTCCTTTCCAAGGCTACAGGAACTGCTGTTGATTGGGTCCAGATGCCTGGGATGAAGGTTATTACAAGTTTCAGCTTTTTTCCTGTTTCGGGTTCTATATCGTGTCTGAATTTGCTGAGATTCTTAAGAATGTTTTGTTGTAAAGCCTGGTCCGGATTCGGTTGGGATCTTTGCCATTTCGCAAAGATGCAGTGGAGTGGCAGCTCGAGCCTGCGGTCTTGTTAGTTTAGAACCCCCAAAGGTATGATCTTTCTCCTCAAAAGCGATTCTTTCTGTATCGCTTTCATCTAAATTTCAGTGTTTTTCCCTACCGATATCTGCAGATTGCAGAGATCCTTAAAGATCGCTCGTCTTGGTTCCGTGACTGCCGGAGCCTTGAAGTTTTCACCATGTTCCCAGCCGGGACTGGCGGCACGATCGAGCTTGTATATATGCAGGTAGAATCTCGTTTCGGCGTCTTCTTTCGTTTCTCCAAGTTAAAAGCACTAAGTGTGGAATGTCGTTTATGTATCAGACATATGCCCCGACGACTTTGGCTCCGGCCAGGGATTTCTGGACCCTACGATACACTACGAGCCTCGAGAACGGCAGTCTCGTGGTATGGAACCCTCAGTAATTGTATAGCTCTTCGTACGTATTTTTTATTCGGAAATGTGTTATTCCTCTGCTCTCTTCATAGGTATGTGAGAGGTCTCTTTCGGGTACTGGAGCGGGTCCTAATGCTGCCTCGGCTGCTCAGTTTGTGAGGGCGGAAATGCTTCCTAGCGGATATTTAATACGGCCTTGTGAGGGCGGCGGTTCGATTATTCACATCGTTGATCACCTTAACCTCGAGGTTCAACGATTTCGTTCAAATTCTCTGTTTCAGTTTCCTCAGTTTCATCTGAGAATATTGGTTCTGAATTTCCGTTCTTGCAGGCTTGGAGTGTCCCGGACGTTCTCCGACCCCTGTACGAGTCTTGTAAAGCTATCGCCCAAAAGATGACCATTGCAGTGAGTAGATTTTCGTTTTTCAGGTCATTTAAGATTACGTTTAATGACTTTAATATGATCATGTTTTCGAATTTATCGGATGGTTTGGGTTTGATGCTAGGCATTGCGTTACATCCGACAAATAGCGCAAGAGACGAATGGGGAAGTCGTGTATGGATTAGGACGGCAGCCCGCTGTCCTGAGAGCGTTTAGCCAACGGTTAAGCAGGTCGGGTTATGAACATTTTGAAACTCGAAAGCCGAAATTTTTAGAGCATATGTCTATAGTTCTTTGTTATAAGTTTTGCTCTTTGATTTTTCAATATTGTCTTCGGGTTTTCTCGAGCAGGGGTTTCAACGATGCGGTTAATGGGTTTAACGATGACGGGTGGTCGGTAATGCATTGCGACGGGGCGGAAGATATAATAGTTACTGTCAACTCTACAAAGCACTTGGACAATGTTTCTAATCCCCTTTCATTCCTCGGGGGCGTCCTTTGTGCAAAGGCCTCAATGCTTCTCCAAGTAACGTTTCGATCTCTCGATCCGATTGAATGTAATTTCGAAATTTTACAAAGCTTTGATCTAACACGTGTGGACTTTTATGTTTTTTCGACTCTAGAATGTTCCTCCTGCAGTTCTTGTACGGTTTCTTCGGGAACATCGGTCCGAGTGGGCCGATTTCAACGTCGATGCATATTCCGCTGCCACGCTGAAAGCGGGTACTTATGGTTATCCGGGAATGAGGCCTACGAGGTTTACGGGTAGCCAGATCATAATGCCTTTAGGGCATACCATTGAACACGAAGAAGTAAGTTTTAAATTTTCTCGGTCCTTTTGCGTGTTCTTGATGGGAAATGTCGATCCTTTCGTAACGTTTTCGGGATCTTTCGCTCAGATGCTTGAAGTCGTCAGACTTGAAGGCCATTCTCTTGTTCAAGACGATGCTTTTGTATCGCGGGATGTGCACCTTCTTCAGGTTCTTCATCTTATAATCTTTCTTGTTTCGAATTCCCGAAAACCCGTTAGTGTATATAAGGGTGTTAGGATTCTCTACGGTTTATGTCTATTTATACGTTTACGTTTACTGAACGAATACATCGAAAAACATTTTTGTATACGGTATCAGAGCCAGGTGACTGACATATTTACCGTGGCAGATATGTACTGGGATTGATGAGAACGCCGTAGGAGCATGCTCGGAGCTAGTTTTTGCTCCGATCAACGAGATGTTCCCCGACGATGCCCCTCTCGTTCCTTCCGGATTCCGTGTTATACCTGTCGATGCCAAAACGGTAATGTTTCACCAACTCGTTTCTCGTTATTCTCGAGTCTTGTACATATATCGGTCTGACCCTCATGACGTTTCGGTACAGGGAGATGGCCAGGACTTGTTGGCCGCTAACCGAACGTTAGACTTGACATCAAGCCTCGAAGTCGGTCCAGCTTCCGAGAATTCTTCGGGGAACCCGACTACGAGTTCGAGCTCACGGTCTATACTGACAATTGCTTTCCAGTTCCCATTCGAGACGAACTTACAGGAGAACGTCGCAACTATGGCTTGCCAGTATGTGCGGAGCGTGATTTCGTCGGTTCAACGAGTTGCAATGGCGATTTCACCTTCGGGATCGAACCCGAGTTTCGGTTCCAAGTTATCTCCTGGATCGCCTGAGGCTGTTACTCTGGCCCAATGGATCTGCCATAGTTACACGTGAGTTTCCTCTCCAATGTGAACCCGCTTTTCTTACAATTCTTTCCTCTGTATTCAACCATTGTTTCTCTTTCCTACATGTTTTCAGTCGCCATTTCGGTTCTGAGTTACTGAGTTCTGACTCACTTGGAGATGGCTCGGTACTGAAACATCTATGGCAACACCAGGATGCTATATTGTGCTGCTCTTTAAAGGTAAAGCATCCAACTTTCGGGCATAGTTCCCGAAATGAATCGGTTAGCAGATTAGCCCGAGAGATCAAAACTTGAAACTTTGATTGCGGTGATAATATAACTCGCCAAACTGAAATCTGGTTTTCGTGTTTTTTTTTTGCAGCCGCAGCCAGTGTTCATGTTTGCGAACCAGGCGGGTCTGGACATGCTGGAGACAACCTTAGTGGCCTTACAAGACATCACTCTCGACAAGATCTTTGACGAGTCTGGTCGGAAAGCCCTCTGCGCTGACTTCGCCAAGCTCATGCAACAGGTAACATTACTCTTTTTAAGTAAAGTTCGGTGGGCACGAAACCCGAGAGTAACTGCCCGACTCGCGAGTCGAGCATCCGACATTTCGGGGTATGAGTTCGGCGGGGGCAAAAAAAACAAGTCGGGCGGTTGCTCTCGTTTTCCTGAGATTAAGGTTTTAGAATTGGCTCAACTGTCTGATCGAGATATCTCGGGTATCCGACTTGTGCCCACACCAACCAAAAGATTCATACACAAGATGATTCCTTCACAAAGGGAACATCTCTAAACTTGTTTGGTTGATATTTCAGTCCGTCCCCACAACTTTTGGTTTTTTACGAAATCACTCCGTACTTTGGTAAGTGACATTTTAGACCCTGGTGTTTCTATGAATCAAGATACCGATTTTTTCACATTTTTCGTCCGCAGGGTTTCGCGTGCTTGCCGGCCGGAATCTGTGTGTCGACGATGGGAAGGAATGTGTCGTACGAGCAAGCAGTTTCATGGAAAGTGTTCGCCGCTCCTTCCGAGGACAACAATGTTGTTCACTGTCTCGCCTTCTTGTTTGTAAACTGGTCTTTTGTGTGAGTTTCCCTCTCATGTCATGAAACCTTAATTTTATTTTCCATCTTTTTGCTTAGATGTTTTTTTTTTAATCTTCGTCGTCTTATTAGTTCAAAAGTGTTTAACTTTTTTAAATTTTGGTTTTTTGTGGAAATGCTAGATGAACAACCGAATTAACCCCAAGTTTTGTCGTTTCATGTGGGCTTTGAGTTTCAATTGATATGATAAGATCTCTTTTATTTTCACTAAAACTTTACCTTTAAATTTGAAAGTTATTGAAAATTTAAAATTAAATGATTATAGTTATAATCTTGATTCTCCACGCGCCTTCGAAAATAAAATCCCCGTCTGGGGAATGACCCGCGTGAACGTAACGCGCAATCATCGCGCGTGTGAACTTAGTCCGCGCATCATATTTGGTACGGTTTTCGTTAATTTATTGCGGAGAAAATAATAATGCTCTTTGGACAGGTTTCATGGCACATCTAATTTTGTACTTGTAGATTTCATTTCTGTACTGTAGATGGGTTTTTCTTGGTGTGAATATGACATTGATTTCACATTATAATTAAATTTAGCAACTAAAATTTAAAATTTAAAACTTTTCATATTCGAAGATATTTTGTCTGTGATTTATTCTATTTGATAATTGCTTTATTTTAATCATTTAATCTTTACACAAAGGAAGAACCATCGGCACAAACCTTTGTCCCATCCAAAAGGTTCATTCCTCTTTGATTGTTAATTCCTTCCGGTGCAGTGTTCACCAAATACTATTCTGTTACAAAAAGAAAGAAAAAAGAAACAAAGAATCAGCAATAACCAATCCAAAAACCGAAAACCCGGAAACAATCATCGATTGTTTCGTTTCGTTTCGTTTCGATCTTCAGAATTTCGAGCATCGAGACGGTAAACCCGAATGATGGTCCACGGCGACAATCTCCGTGGCATTATCGCAACGAAGAACGTCTTGGCCTAGCTTTGCACCTGCGGCTTTCAAACCTTTAAGCGAAACCGGTTGGTTGAAGAGGTTCAAAGAAGGTAACTTCGAAGCCGGAGGGAGTTTCTGGTTCGGTAAGAAGTTTCTGAAATCTTCCGCAAGTAATGGAACTTCGAAATCCGTCTTGTCGTGTCTAACAACGTTGTCTTTGGCCGAGATGTGAGCTCCTGGTTCCATATGGTTGGTCGAGAAGCTTGCCTGGTTAGGGAAATTCGGGTAGAGACTGACATATCCTCTTAAGTACATCATGTCGATGAGGAACTTCTTCCACGAAGCTTGCCACCCGTTTGTTCTGGATTTCGGGATCTGAACCGGGTTTGCTTTTGCATCCTCCGTAAATCTCATGTTCATATACACGTAGAATTCTCGCCATTGCTTCGGGAAGAAGACGGCTCCCCAGCTGCAGGGTAGTTGGTGAAGGTACGGTGTGTGTGGATGGATCCGCTTGAAGAATTCCGTCGGGTTCCATTTCGGTCTCTCTTTAACAACTTCCACGATCTTCGGGGTATATAATGAGATGGACGAGAGTTCGGGAAACGAGATTTGCGGGTCGTAGTGGTAAGCCAGTAAGGAGTACTTGATCCAGAGGTAGTAATAAGGCGAGACTTCAATATCATCTTCGAGCAGAAGACCGAAATCGTCATCGGAAGCAGGGTACCAACTTTCGCTTACTGCTCGGATCAATCCTCCTTGGATGATTCTTCTTCTTAGGGTTTTCGGTCCGTGAGGCCATTCGAACGAGCCCACGAGCTTTATCGTCTCTTCATCCACTTTGCTGTCCATGTTGAAGCTGATGGGTACTTCATCGCTGAGGTAGTAAGCACTGGTCAAGGAATTAAGCAGCCTTTGTAAAGATTTTGCTCGGTTTTGGGTGATGATGTTGACTGAGATTCTCATCTTATTCCAGTCTGCAGGCAAACATTCCGTAAAAATTCGTGTTCAGAGAAATCATATCAGAATGACGAAATCATCGGCAAGCGAAAAAAAACAGAGCTTTCTTACTTGGCAATGCTGTTGATCTGAGATCAGCCATCCAGAGAACCTTCGGGACAGAAGGTCTTGGGAGAAGAACAAGAGCGGTGCCATTTGGATTAGTTTCGGTTGCCATTCTCAAAGCTTTCTTCACGTTAGGGTCGGCATCAGCCACAGTAATCACGACGCTTGGATTGTGAATCTTAATCAGTCCTTTCATGCTCGAATACACTGCTTGCACAACAGGTACCTCTGAGTTCGACACACCCAGAATAGCTCCGACATCCAAATCAAATATCTTGAATCTTCTCTCCTTGCAGACAACCTTGGGCCAATTCAAAGCCGAGGCAGCATCCTCGCACGGACAGAATTTCCCACCCGATACCGCAATGTAGGCCTTCTTGCCAACAGTAGTTCGGAACTTTTCGAGCAGCGGAGCAAGAGCTTTAACTTCATCGACTGAATGTGCGTAGAAGAGAGCATCGATCTTTTGTGGGTACATTGCAGCCCATTGAGTAATGTAGCCTGTAGACAGTGCTTTCCACCACTGGTTATCTCTGACTTCGACGACGTTTTTGAAGATCACCGTGGTTTCCGAGACATATGCAAGCCTGTGCTCACTGTCTCCCCATGTTTCCTTGTCATTAGGATCAACTGGTAGAACAAAAGAACAAGCATTTCTGTACTTCTGAAGCTGATAGCTGCAACAAGTGAAGCAAGAGACCTATTGTTATTTTTCGGGTAATACTTCTAAAAGAATCTAATATAAAATGCTTAAGAGAAAACAGATCTATAGCGCGGTAGAACATAACATTCACGAATACAAAACAATGCCATGATCTCGTTGGATCTTAATGCAGTTCAGAAAACGTGATCATCCTCCCATGAAGATCACTCAAAAGGCGTTAACACAATAAACTAGTAATTTTAACTTATCTTGTACTCAAGAAGTTTTCTGTTTCAAGAAACTCAAATCTTTGACAATTTAATATATTCCTTTGAACACCATTACCGAAAACTATTTTCTATTCTCACCTTTAATACAGAGCACAGATCCAAATCTAGCCAAGCTTATTCTATTCCGTTGATTTGTGAAATTCAATTTTGTATGTAGCTAAAAATCAAACAGTAACAGTTTCTTAGTATTCAAGCAAATTCAAACGCTTCCTTCTTCTGCACTCAAAATTGTAAATTCCAGGGGAACGAATCGAATCAAATCGAGGCGCAAAAGACAAAAAAATAGCATAGCAGAAGCAAATGTACCTTAGGTGCAGATCTTCGCCGGTGGCGAATGTGAACGGCGTCTCGATGAACAGAGCCTTCACGAGCTCCGCCGACAGGAACCATGAACTAGAAAGAAAATCCACCTGAACGATCCGATCAACGGTGATATCGTACGCCGGATCAGGCAAGTAAAGTCCCGCTTCCTTCGATCGGAACTTTCTGTAGCTCGGGAACGTGAAATCTTTCTGACGGAACGGAAGGATCCGACCAATACTTCCCAAAACAGCGTTCTCATACTTCTCCGTCCCGGCAACATGCGCGAGGATCTGAAGCATCTTCCTCCCCGGAATCATGTCATCGTCGAGGATGTACACCAAATCGGCCTCCGTCTGAAGCGCGATCTGGAATCTTCCATAGTATTTGAAATCGTAACTCGAGCTGATGAAGCTGATCCGAGAATCGTTGTAGCTCTCGGAGATTCGCCGGAGATTCGCTTCGTTAGGGCTCCCGAAGGAGAGAACCCAGACATGGTGAAACGGCAGCGTTTGATGGAGGAGCGAGTCGAGTTGTGCACAAAGCGTCTTCCTCTTGAAGTGGTTCAGTATAACCGTTATTTTGGGCCTATTAGACCCATTTAAGGCCCATCTAGATTTCATCTTCATAAGCTCCTCCAAGCTCTCAGGCCCAAACGTCTTCCTCTGGAATCCCAAAACGTCGTCGTATAACCCCCGCTTCAGCTTTATCATCTGCTCGTCGTTCGACTTCTTCTGCGAGAAATCGATCTTCTCGTACTCGCATACATCCGCCGGCGATATTTTCTCCGGAAAACTCGAGATCTCGGATCTCGCGAGAGAAGCCGAGTCCTGGAGATGGGCCACGACGTGAGGGGTGACAATATAATTTCTCATGTTGTGGGCCCATTTCGTAGCCCAAGTGAAATCCGGCTTGCTACGTAGATCGACGGTGGGGCCCATGTAGTAGAGGAGGACGGTGGCGTAGACGGCGAAGGCGATCTGGAGACACGTTAACGCTGTCACGAACTTCGTCGAAGTCATCAGCTTCTGATGAGTCTTTGGCTTTGGTTTAACGGCGACGGAGAAGTCTCCGCCGAATATTCCGTCGAGATAGTCTCCGCTTCTCACCGCCGGCGGTCGAATGAAACCCATTTTCCGGCGATACCCAAAACCTGAAAGCACGCAGTAGCAAAGCACAGACTTATGAGGTACCTTTCTTCTTACATTGGTTCATTCTAACACACATATTTGATTGGTCTGATGGAATGAGACCACAGATTGAGGAGTTGAAGCCCCAGTCTCGCTCTTCATTCATTCTGTTCTTTTGTTTGTTTTAGGCTTTTAGCCAACAATCTTGCTTCATTTCGTTTGTTGTTCCTTCATCATGTTCTAAGGTTGTTCGATATTCTTATTGTTTGTTTAATTAGTGGGAAGACTCCATCGATGATTCAACTGAAGAATCAAATGGTGATGGTGGAAAGGCTAACATTTCAAAACGTAAAAAAATGGCGATGTCTCCGCTGAGAAAGGATGGAGCTTCAAAAGGTCCTAGAAAGATGAAAATCGGCTGGACAACTGCCCCTAAACGTGATGAAACTGTTTATGTGAATGATACATGGTACATGATATATATATATATATACATATATGTTTATATAAAGTGAGGTTTGTGGGTGAAGCATTACAGAAGGAGAAGATCACATGGGCTAAACGTTCATTAAAAATAAAGTAAACGGTACTGAAAACAAGATTTTATTTTGACGAGAAAAAAAAGTATTATAAAGTTTACGCGTTACATTTTTCATTTGTTGATTTTAATTTCTATTATTTTTAGGGTTTGATTAATGATTACAGAAGAAGATATAATATAAACAAGGTGCTTAAGACAACACTTAATGGGGAAAAGCCTGTTTTATTGGCGTAAAAAAGGGCAACCCATGCGTTTTCGGCACCACCATGCCTTTCATTTAACACTACCATATGCTATGTTCTCTCATATATATATGTGTGTGTGTGTAATTGTGTACCACATATGTGTATATACATATGAGGTTATACATATATATTAATGAATGTAAATCACTATATATACATTCATAAAATCAATATTAATGGGTTTAGAGCGGATATTTTGATATATGTTTTGAAATGGGGTTTTGCTTTTATTTAGAGATGGAAATAATGACTCCTTTAATATTTGGTATATTTTTTTTATTAATCAAAGGAAAGGACATTAATGGGTTTGCATTTAGTTTAAGTATCTCTAATTCCACTTCTCAATAATGGTTGTTTTTTGTGATAATATATCAGAAAAAGTTGACAATATATACGTACATCTTTCTTAAAAATAACATTATTATATACAATATGTACATTATATATATAACGCATATACATTAATGTAAATAGAAGAGGCAAATGAAGTACATTACCTTTGTGTGCAAGTGTGACCAAGAAATCCGAAGAAAGTACTTGAGAATCAAGCCTTTTCAATGTGAAATATATAAAACCCTAGAATTATGCAAAAATATCATGTAAGAAATCGAAGAGATCGTATTATAGTTCACAGAAAAATTTAATATCAAGAGAGAGAAAATAAGAGGGAGAGATTGAGTAGAGGACGAGTTATTGATTAATTCGATATATTATTAGTAGCAACATCTAATTATATAATATATGGTTCGGACAGGAGAAGGGTTTGACTTTGCAATTTGCATGTAGATACGTCATTGAACATTGCAGCAATCTCTCTTCTTTATTTATTTTATGGAATTTCGCCAAACCTTGCACATATATAAATATCATCTCTTAAACTATATAAACTATGTATTATTAGAATATATTTTATAGTCTACATTTGATATTAAGAGAAAAAGGGAGAGAGATCTTAGAATTAGTATATTCATATTACACACACACACGTATGTATATATACATAGAAATGTTACGATATTGATTAATTAGGTGAAAATATAGGGGAAGATTTTCGTCCCAAATTCGAACTTACATCTTATAATATCAATTAAAACAAGTAAGGGATATTTGAATATTGATAATAAGTTGTATTATGATTTTATATTATATTAATTTTTGTTGCTTGAATCACGAAATCATAAGTCGGCTACGCATGTGTGTCAAATTACTTTAATCAAGGAAGGATCTAGTTAATCATCTCTATTTAACTAATTTATTAATTGATAACGGTCAACATGATTGCTTCGGTTGACTCGTTTAAGTAATTCGTATACATACATACATACATACATACATACATACATACATACATACATACATATGCACGCACGCAATGTCCCGAAGGGCCGAAGATGGGTGAAATGATGTTTAGATCGATAGCTAACTATTGTTTTTCTTTTCCAATAATTAATGACTCTCTCTAGGGATCCATATGCACCACTTAATGACAATAAATATTAATCGTACCCAACAGTTGGTGGCCCAATGGATGAGATGTGACAAAATCATCCTTAGGATTCTGGATTCGATTCCGCGGGTGGAAAGGGATATAATTTCTGGATCAAAATGGTCCATATACAAAGGTTGGTTCCGGTCTAGGGTGGATATAATCGGAGCGAAAACCCGGAAAACCATCTTGGTTATCAATATATATATATATATATTAATTGTTTTTTAATTTTAGAGAGACTCAAAGAATGGAACAATTTTTTTGTTTCGTTATTGAACTTTTTAGCAAATGAATATTTTATTAATAAAATTCGAACCAAAGCAAATCCAAATAAAAATTTAAGCAAAATAATAACCGGTTATAATATTTCTAAAAATGAAAGATAAATGAGCGGGGGTTCCAAATTAATATTGTAAAACTCCCCGTGGTCGGTATATATATCCACAAATATAATTAACTTTATATTACACCAAAACAAAAAATCTTCCATGATTTGGTTTAGGAGTCGTAATTGACTCCCTGACCTCATATGAACAAAACCAAGTTGCTTTATTTCGGTCTATCGTACCTAAAAATCAAAGAACGGAGACACAAGTCACAACGTTATTAGAGTTTCACCAAACTTAAGTTCCTTATTTGTCAACTTGACATTTGAATGTATATATGTGTGTGTATATGTGTGTAATGTACACATTTTGGCTTCAACATGTGTGTATACAATAGCAGATCCAAAAAAAAATCAATGAAATCACATTAATATAATTAAAAATAAAAATTTGCCTCCACTAACACAACATTTCCACTAAAATTTTATAAATGTATATCATAATTTTTATTCTTTTCAGAAGTTGATTAGGGCAAGTACCCCCATAAACATGTTGTTTCCTCTCTCTCTCTCTCTCTCTCTCTATATATATATATATATATATATATATGACTATATCTATATATGTGGTGTGATTTTTGTATATGTAGCTAGTTTGTGTATAATATGAAATATTATTCAAAATCCAAAGATATTATTATTATCATACGGGAAAAGAATGAATATAAATATTCTCTATAAGATCATTTTAAGCAGTATTATATAAAGCTATAGATTTAACTCCACCAATCATTGATTGTGCAATTGAATGAATGATGTCAAATAGAGAGTAGATCACATGGATTTTGGTCAAAGTTAATATTTGAGTGAATTATATTAAAAAAAATATTTCCATTCAAAAAGATTAATTAAGATTAATGCGAAGAACAAATCTTTTTCTAAAAATTTCCATTAAAAAGTCAAAACCCCTGTGCTCCTAATTTGAAAAGTCAACTCCAAGGAAGAAAATATCAAAAGTGCAAAAATATTACAAGTAAAATAAGAGTAAATCATCCTACGTGGCCACTCACTTGGACTGAAGTTGGGTGGAAAGACATGATTATTTGACTTTGTAAACGAGAGATTTCCAATGCAGAAATTGAGATCCAAGAACGCAGCCTACACAACACGTGAACAAGTCGTGTATTTCTACCTATTTATATATATATATGGTTTTATATACCTATCAAATTTTATGAATATATATCGAATACGCATATACATCACATACGTGTGAAATTTCGAAATATTTTTGTGTATTTTTTGTGTTTCGATATCTCATAATATTATAAAGATTAATGTGTAACTGTCATTAGATAATTACTACTTTTTTATGACATTTATATGTTTCGGATTTTTTATATAGAGAGCTTTCGGATTTTTTATATAGCGAGATTATAATCACACGTTATACTGTTGGAACGATTTTTGAAAAAAAAAATCCAATCTGGGATATCATTATACGGCAATGAATACATGTATAATTCGCTATTTTCTAAATCGTTTATTTTTTATTTTTTATTATATAATTATATATCCTCAATACATATGTTTTAAAAGTAATTCTTTTTTACTATTTATAAATGCAAGTGCTTCTTTTGAGGGGGAGTCAACAAAATATTCTCCCATGGCTTTTTCTGTGTCTTCACCGTATTTTTTTTTGTATAAATATATACACACATCACACATGTATGCATATCTATTCAAATGAAAAGGGCACTATTAATTAAGAAAAGCTAAGTTTCAAATTAAATTTCTAATTAATTATGTCATAACAAACAAACAAAATTTAGGATTAGTTTAGTAGATATCCAAATCATAAGTGTGTGGAATACCGCCTAATTTATATGTTATTTTTTTAAAAAAAACCTTTTTCTCTTTTCAACACGAGGTCTATTATTGCTTTTTAAGTTTCGGATAATCATTTTACTTATTAGTTTCGTTTTCAGAACAATTTCGTTTTCAAATTAAATTTAATAAATAAAAGTTTTTTTAGAATCATTCAGAACTAAAAACATTGAATAGATAGTTTTGATTTCAGTTTAATTATCTTTTATTTTCATTGAAAAAAAATATATTAATAAATGTGTTGAAGTAAGAATAGTAAAATAAGGATATTTTTTATAATGCTCTGTTTAATTTAATATAGTCAATTCAAAATACACACATGAAAATACAGTGAATATTTGTATGAACAGAATATTTTCCATAAATCATTTTATGAATATGGGATAATTTTTTTTCACAGTTATAAGCCTATATACGATACCCGCCTGATTATTTTTTCCGACCCGAAACCGCTGTTATTTTCCGAACGGTACCATTTTTAGAGAACCGAATTTTTCTGGAACTGAACCGAACCGAACTTTAAAAATCCCGAAAAACTGAATATTTTTAAAGGAAATCTATCATTTTTTTAATAAAACCCGGAACCGAACCGAACCGATACCGAAAACGAACCAAACCGAATACAATAAAAAAACCCGATTGGTACCTATTTTTGTAAAACCGAAAGAATCGAACCGATTCATTCCATTCCGAACACGAACCGTTTCCCGAAATGCCCATCCCTAACCTCGCCTCTCGTTCTCAATAAAGCAGAATTCACAAAAGGGACGAAAAAAAAAACAGAAAGGAACCAATTTGCTCCCCATAAAAAACAATTAATTTCACTTATACCCCAAATATTTATACAAGAAGAACCTACCCCCAATTTTAAACAAATCATAAGCAAAACAAAAAAAATCAATACGGAAAAAATAATAATTCTTAAATCCCCGTTTTACCCTTTCCTCCGATCACCTCGGGCGGGTCTCGCCGGAAACGACAGAGCTTGCCGGAGATTCCTCTGCGATGACGGCAAACTCGAGCTTGAATCCGAATTAGGATTTCCGAAACTCATCGTCTGAGATAGATTCACCATATCCACCATTGATTGAGTCTGATAACTCTGCAAAACCCTAGTCGTTTCGCTCATATCCCCTCTCGTCGTGGCTCTCTGCCATGAATGCGAGCCCAGCCCCGACAATACGTAAGCCCGACCCGACGCCTCGTACACTTGTCGGCTCGCCATTCGCTCCTGCGTCTCCCTCAGCTCTGTGCAAAGTGCCGTACACAACGGGTCCTTGGCCCGGCCGGACATCGTTTCCGACAGAACATGACGGCATGTCTCGAGCCTAGACACGGCCGCCGCCAGATCCCCGCGTTCGGCTAAAACCCGAGCCTCGGATATCGCTTCCGCTGCACGTAACCTAATCCTCTCCCTGTCTACTTCCACTGACACGACCGGTGTTCTTCCCGCTGTTACTTGCGGCCTAAGGATCATCATTTCTCCAGAGTTTCTCGACGTGATCATCTCTTTCGACACGGGATCTCTGTATTCGCATTTAACTTTCAGAAGTGACATCTGATCTGAAATTCCGGCAACCGGGATGTCGAGATTCACCAGAAAGTTCCTCTCTTCGTCGGCATAGAGATCTCCTACACTGATAATCCCGGTTCTTGAAGCCGGGCAGGCATTGACACGGTAACTTCCGGCTTTTATCGAGCCGAGACGTAAACCCTGATGAACACACTCAACCTTCACACTCAGTTCCTGAACCACGACGCT